AGTTGGCTCCTCCTCTACTGTCAACATTATCAGCTCTACCTAACCATTGGGAGAGGCACTCTGTCATACAACGAGATACATCATGAGGATGATTCTTTTCTATAGCATCCAGTGAACTCTTTAACAATCCTAGTCTCAGTCCAAACTTATACCATTTTGTTTCTGGGAAGCAACATTTCTCCAATAAACAAAGAACATAATCCAAGTCACCAATATCTACATAAGTGTAGGTCAAAAGTAAAATGGTGGATTTCCCATCATCAATCAACTTTACCTAAACAAATTTGATTAGTGGCCATAGTTCCATTAAAATAAGCTACCCCAAGGCCAGACTAACAAGGAGCAATGAACTAGAGTAGAACAGTTTTAGGGTGGGGTCAGAAGAGGCGTGGTCTTGTTATTGTAGTTATAAAAAGGTGGGGCTGGGTGTGCAAACAACCAAGCACTGCACAAAATCAATGAATCAAGCCTGCTTGCGGAGAGGTAGTGTGTGCTGTTGCAATCAGTAATCCAGTCAGACACATTTATACAGGAGGAAAGGTATGGTATGGCCTAATTTAACCAAAAATGAATAAAAGAGAATTCTTTATTATTATAATTTTTTCTGATATAAATACATGTTTTTATGATGTGCGTATTGATAGAATCTGACAGATATCAAAACACTAGAATACACCAAAGAAGTGAGTTCATGTTTGTATAAGCAAGCCATTGTACATATTTTTACATATTGTACATTCACATGTAGATCTAGACTATTAATAATAAATATTAATTTTATTATAAATAAATATTTACTACATTAATGCATAAATTAATGCTGTTATTTTGCTGTTTACTTTATAGACCTAACGACCTTACTAGTTGAATCTTCTTTTAATTACTGTGTCATGGAAAGTGAGTCCTGAAGTTGGGGAAATTCCAGCAATCCTGGCATCACCACAGGAAATACCACAGGACCCCAAAAAATAAACTAAATCTAGATAAATCAAATGGAAGTATTATGAAAAAAATAAGGATGAAAATGTAGAACATAAAATAAAAATGAGCCATAAAAAGATGCCAGCAGTATGAATACTAGCAGTATGAAGGTTCAGAGTGATGATGATACAAAGAGTGAAGAAACACCCACTGGCCGAGCCACTGACGCTGTTTCCCAAGGTGATACAAATGACCGCAAAGAAGAGAAACCATGGTGATTTACATGGGGGATTTTGGAGTTAAAAATACTCCAAAATCACCTTAGATTTTTATTATTTTGTTGATACATATTGATGTCCTTATGCTGTATAAAAAGTTTGAGCTAATTTTGACTTCAATTTTTCAAGTTACGGCCATTTTAAGAAAATGCCAAAATTCTGAAAAATAATTATGACTCGGTTTTCTCCCAAAAAATGGCTCCAAAATCACCCTAAATTTTTATTACATTTTCTGATACATATTGATGTTCTTATTCTGTGTAGCATGTTTGAGCTAATTCCGACTTTAATTTTTCAAGTTACGGCCATTTTAAGAAAAGGTCAAAATTCTGAAAAATACCCAAGGCTATACTATAGCCCATGGTTTTTTCAAAAAATGGCTCCAAAATCACCCCAAATTTTTATTACATTTTCTGATACATATTGATGTCCTTATGCTGTGTAGCAAGTTTGAACTGATTCCGACTTTAATTTTTAAAGTTACGGCCCTTTTCAGAAAACATCAAAATTCTGAAAAATACCCAAAGCCATAGCCCATGTTTTTTTTCAAAAAATGGCTCAGAAATCACCCCAAATTTTTATTACATTTTCTAATGGATATTGATGTCCTTATTCTGTGTAGCATGTTTGAGCTAATTCCGACTTTAATTTTTC